AGCCACTGGGCTCCTGCTGCCCTCGGAGGCCCCAGCTCAGGCCCAGCTGTTACAGGGCTTTTGGAGGATTACTCAGCCAACAGGAACTCTGCTCCCCAGAGGCTCCAGCAAAGAACGCCAGGCTACCTGATAAAACTGCCCTCACCCCTTTTTCTCGGCACAGTCCTGTCATAGCTGGATTTCAGGGTAGTTACATTCTGTAAAAAGAACTTCTGAAGTTTGTGATTCTGCTATCTTATTGTTCACAAGAGCTACAACAGCATTCTAAGCTCTGGGTACAGCCCTTGCTTCCCTGTTAAGGCAAGGAGGGAGGTCACTGCATCCCTTCCGTTGTAAGCACACGATCATTCCGCCTATTTCCTAATGAGTACGACTACTCTAGTCCAACTTCATAACGGACGCTAGGACTAAAACACTTGTAACACGGCAAGGGAACTGGTGTGTGGCGGTCGGTTTTCATTGAGAAGCTGCACTCTCCTCTTCCTGCTCAGGTCCGGATGCCCTGCCTTCATCTGCGGGCGTACTTTTATCACACAACTCATGAAATGACGGACTCTCCTCAGACTTTTGCGTAGTTCTTGCTGGTGGGGAACTGCAGCTGCTCATTTCTGGAAAGGCTACACCATCTAGCTGTCCACACATCCCGGGCACAGCTGCTACACAAGACCAGTACCGCTTGTGCTCAAGCCGGCAGAATATTTGCATCTTGGTTTTTCCACTGGAGAAGAAGAGGTTGAAGGCCATGGTCACCTCTCCGGCAACCTGGCTGCTCAGTGCCCTCTGCTGTGTAACCGGGCAGGCCAGAAGGGTCAGGTGGCATTCTGGAGGCTTGCTCACCTTACCACCTTTCAGAGACCTTGGGGCGAGGCCACGACTCCCACGTGAATCTTGAGGGGACCACAGCAGCACCCTCACTATAAGGTGAGAGGCTTAGTAGTCAAACAACCACACCTGTTCCTGGCTGTGGAAGCAGGACGGCCCTGGTACCAATGGTCCTTCACTGCTGGACCCACTTTCAATCCCAGTACACCAAGGGGAGAAGGGACCATGTGTAACATGCACATTGCAGCGTAGCTTCTCGCACCAACTCTTGGTGGCAGCCGAGCCGCATGACTGACCCTGCCCATCACCTGCTCCATTCGTCGGGACATCTGGGGCGGTGGCTATCTGCTGGCATTCCTCAGGAGGGAAGGACACTACCATCAGATGAAGTTACGTGCACTCAGCAAGAGCAAACTGACCAAGTGAGACCACTTCCCCAGCCTCAGTCCTGGGAGGGCAGCTCAGGTTTCAGGCGCACAGCCGAGGTCTGCACTGCCCCAGGACTCCGCCGCGGTCCCCTGGCCTGTGTGACCGTGCACTAGCCTTGACGGGGTGCTCAGCACTACATACTGCAGTGAGGCTGAAACATTGGTCTGCACCAAGAGAGCAAACAGTGCACGCTGGCAATGAACATCCAAGAATCAACCACACGGCAGGCCAGGCAAACTCTCCCTAAAGGTGCCCGACTCCTCTGCTTCCCTAGTAACTCGCCAAAGGATGCTCACCTATATTATATTTTTGTCGCTTTCACCGATCAATTGTTTTTATATACTACCCTTTGAATTATGATTCAGAATCAACTTACGGCTTCAGGCATATCCACCTGAACACTAGCTCGATGCCAGAGACTGGGTTTTATTAGCAAGACAGAAAAGTTTAGTAGAAAGAAGCAGTCAGGTGCGAGAAAGCACAGACACCTGTAAACTTAAGAACGCGCTTGCTCTCACTTCAGCCAGGCGTGTCCACCTGGGCGCTGAACCCCTTCCCTGTGCCTAAGGGTGAAGCCTTAATGCTAACGTACAGGCCAGGGGGTGGTCAAGCCCACGAAGCCTGTGACACCAGCATTCCACACGGACGCCGGCTCATGTCCGGTGAGAAGCGGCAGAGGACGGCAGAGGTGGACCTCTGCCACCGAGACAAGACACCTGGAGGCAGCTCCAGGCCAGCAGTCACAGAGTGACCCAGTATACAGAAAAATCATCACTCATTCTAACCCTTTCACATCAATCTTAGAAAACAAAATAAGCATATAGGTGAAACATGATAAACATGAGTAGTAACTATCTCCTCAAACAATGTTGTAGATTTTTAAAGATGTTTACATGTACAAGGAGTTAACTACTTGAAGAAGGGCAAGGAAAGAATTAACAATGCACAGAACTAGCCCTAGATCCTCTTTTTTAAAAACCAAGGTCCGGGCCCGGCGCGGTGGCGCAGTGGTTAAGGTCCTCGCCTTGCACGCCCAGGATCCCATATGGGCGCCGGTTCTATCCCGGCAGCCCCGCTTCCCTTCCAGCTCCCTGCCTGTGGCCTGGGAAAGCTTTCGGACCCTGCACCCGCGTGGGAGACCTGGAAGAGGCTCCTGGCTTCGGATCGGCATAGCATCAGCCGTTGCACTCACTTGGAGAGTGAATCATCGGACGGAAGATCTTCCTCTCTGTCTCTCCTCTCTGTATATCTGCCTTTCCAATAAAAAACTAATAAAAATAAAAATAAATCTTAAAAAAAAAAAAAAAAACCAAGGTCCATGATGAACTGGTGTCTGCAGCTGGTCCTCTTATGAGCTGTCAGATGCTGGGTCCACAGGGAAGCCACAGGAGCCTGATACAGGGTGGGGGAACGCTGTGGATGGCCACTACAGTGGTCAAGTTCACAGAGAGGCCCAGGGCAGCTCTCAGGACAGCAGGATGTGCCAGGAGGAGGGGACGCCACCAAGCGGGGGGACACATGCATATGCCCTTACCAGGTCACTCAAGAATGATGCTTAAAGCCCAATTCTCAAAGCCTGCTTTTAATTACCACAAGTCTTCACCCATACACTATGAACAGAGGAGGGAAAAACTCTTGCATTCAGCCTGGTTAAGCATCTACTGTACACAGTTCTTATTGCAATTACTTTTAGCTGATAAACCAAAGTGGCATTCCTTGCCAAACTTTCAGAGGCCAGCACACGGATGAAAAGCAGTGCCGGAAGCATCATTCACACTTGCTTTGGCTCGTCTAGAAAATACAGCCTTTTAAGATACACATGCCTTTAGAGATGTTCTCTTGCTTCCCAGGGCGCGTGGACTCCCTACTCGGTTCAGTACCCCAAGTGGACTCTTACCTTGCAGGAATGTACTGTCACTTATTTCATGAAACCCAATTATTACACAGCTCTGCTCTTCAGCTTAATTCCTATTTTATTGTTTTGCCAACAAGACTGACAATTTTTTAAACTTTACAGCTAGTGAAGAAGTAAGTTTGCATTAAACATGGACTTAATTTGCCTTTGGGGTTTAATTTTTAAAAAATTAATAGCAAAGTGCAGTGTCAAGTAGTCAATGTGCCAAAAAATTGAAACAGAAAATCAAAATCCATTAAAACAATTCCTATTTGTTTGCTTAGTAGTGTATTTTTTTAATATTCATTGAACATTCCGTTGTCTTTTCCATAATTAAAATGTTAATTATTGGAATCACATTTTTATGGACCGGAGTTTTCAAGGACTGAGTTAGGAGTCTGTCTTCTGCCGCCACAGCACCGTGAGCGACACTCACCCGGCCCTTCCCGCCAACGGGACTCCTCCGATCAACAGAACTTCCAATGTGCCTCCAAGCTGGGGATCCTGCTTCCACATCACACGTTAAAACCTTACTGCTGAATGTTTGTTCAACACAGCACCCTTTGAGAGGCACAGGCAGGGCACCACTGCCTTGCAGCGGCCTCTGGCTCAGGGTGGGCACTCAGGGCATGCTCAGCGATGCGGGAGCCCGCCTGGCAGACGGCTCGCTTACAGCTCTGACAAGCCCTTAAACACCATAAGCAAAGTATTAGAAACTGCATAACGTGCAGCGTGGGTCCTTCTCAGTGATGACACAGAGTAAGGACCCACACATGTAGAATATTAGACCAATAACAGTTTTAAAAAGGATGAGATAAGTAACCTAAACAAATGATGCCATTGTCAAAAGCACATTTGGAACTGCTTCTCCAAGAATTATTATAATTGCTTAAAGCTTAGTTTCAGTTATTAATTTTGCAATGAAGTCCTTTAATGGAAAATAATCACATTGTAAAAATAAACCGCACTGGGTTGATCCTAATTTTAATATCTAGGAACAAGACACTTTTAAAAAAGATCCACCAAAGCCTATCAGATCCTTTTGGGCCAAACTATTCAGAAGTTTCTCCATTTGAGAGAACACTACCTTCACCTGCAGTGGAATGTAGACCACTCCGTCACAGCTGACGTCCCCACCTGGATGGGAGAGGCTTCACCGAGGAGCCAAGGAGCCAATACCGCCTCAAACGCTCAAGCACAGCACAGCAGGGCACGCAGGCCTGCCAGCCCCTGGGTCTTCACTAACAAAGAGGAGGGCACCTTCTCCCATCTGTAACATCATCTTCCAAGAACTATCAATTTAGCTTCCACAGCTCGTTCACCCAAGCAAATCAGAGGAATGAAAAGTCTAACCACTTCTCCGTAAATTGATAATCAGTTCCTCAATTAAGGTATTTTCAGCTGTTGTTAAAGCACACACCTGCCACGTTTACTTGAGTGAGGGGATTTTTAAATTTACCACTACTTCTTGACTACAAAGTTTTCAAACTGAGAAAACACATGTCCACGTAGGTTCCAGTGGCACTGTGCAGTGTTCCCGGCTACTCGGGAACCACGTGGCACTTTCCCACAGGGAAGGCTTGCCCTAACTTCTCACAGACCAGCAAACTGTACACATTGAATTTCGACCATTTTCATTGTTACTGCTAATTTTGTGGAAACAGTCTCCGTTAGTGCTTCCAAACTTTCTATCAAACCATTAGTAACTGCAGTGAAGCTGTGAGCACTGGGCTGATCGCCCTGCTCTTTGCTGCCCACTAAAGGAAAAGCTGCATGTTCCCAAGAACAGCTCGGAACCAGGGCTACTTCAGCATAACCCCACAGAGCCTGTTCAGCACCCCGCGGCATCAGTTACCTGGGTCAGGTGTGTTCGTTTCCTGTCTTCCCTTAGGCCGTTCAACAGTCCACACGCAAATGCTGTTACCAGCTCACTTTTGTCTAACGTTTTTCTAACCAAGGTGCAGCTGAACCCTGCAGTGATGTGGAAAACGCCAACGTTACTGCTTGTACTGACAATCGCATATCCAAAGTATTAGGAAATTTCATCCTCCAGACATATGTGAAGATGATACAGTCCACAGGAAAATATTTTTTAAGTTCAATTTCACATCCTGTGTTTTTAAAAAGGGCTTTAAGATGTTGGTTTCAATCCCAACCTTTCGCTTTGACACTTGCAGAGCAAAGCACTCCAATAGATCCAAGTAGAGTGCCCTCCCTGCTCTGTCCACGCACGCACAGACCTGACCTAGCATGCGACTCCAGACAAAGCCAAGGCCATGCATGCATGGTGGGCACACACATACCTGACCGTGCACATGAACCTGGAACTCCACACAACACGGAACTCCATGCATGGCGGACACACGCACAGACCTGACCGTGCACATGAACCTGGAACTCCACACAACACGGAACTCCATGGATGGAGAGCACACACACAGACCTGACCGTGCACATGAACCCAGGCACACAACACAGAACTCCATGGAGAGCACACACACCTGACCGTGCACATGAACCCAGGCATACAACATGGAACTCCATGCATGGTAGGTACACACACAGAGAACGGACCCTACACATGAACTAAGACACACAACATGGAACTCCATGCATGGCGGGCACACGCAGACCTGACCGTGCACATGAACCCAAGCACACAACATGGAATTCCATGCGTGGTGGGCGCACACACACACAGACCTGACCTCACACATGAACTAAGACACAGAACATGGAACTCCATACATGGCAGGCATATACACACAGGTCTGACCCCACACACCATACAGTCCACGCACTGCTGTGCATGCACGTTGGGTATACACACTCTTGGTCAGGCATGCTGGGTCCCGACACTCCTGTCCACGCACGCATGGACACACGCACACTTCTGTCCACGCATCTTCGCCTTTCCCTCCGCACACTCGGAGACAGCAGGTGCGCGCCTCAGCTCACCCGAGAGGCCGCCGAGCACCGCACGTCCCGCGCCGCCGCGACCCCTCCGCCCCCCGTCTGGCCGCGCGGCCCCCCGTGGCCTGCGGCCCGTTCCCCCAGGCCCCGAACCGTCCCCTCCGAGCTGCGCCAAGGCCGGCGCGGAGAAGCCGGCGGATGCGGCGACGAGCCTCGCACCACTCGGGGCGGCGCCGCCTCCGCTCCTTCCAGAAGGGAGAGCGCGAGGAGCTGTGGAAAGGCCAGACGCCGCGGCCTCGACCGCCCGGCCCGCCGAGGAGCTCCGCGGGCACGGCCCTCTCGCCGCCCACAAGATGGGGCCGAGGCGGCGGCGGCGGCGGCGGCGGCGGCGGGCTCCAAGCGGGCCGCCATTTTGTGAGGCCGGCGCCGGGCGTGTGTAATGGTCGCAGGGACAGACCCCGCCTCCCTCCCCCAGGGAATCCCCGGCGCCGACGGTTACGTAAGGGGCCGTGCGCAAGTGCGGCGCCCAGGGAACCCGCACCTCTGCGGCCCGGCTCGCCACCGCCCCTGGGCGGCCGCCCGGCCCCGCCGGCCTGCGCGCGCTCCGTGGGCCGCCGTCTCCCCGCCGCGGCCTCGGCAGCCGCCGGCCTCACCGGGAGCACGAGTCCGGGCCCGCATGACGTAATCCCCACGCCGCCCGGGGCCCCGAGTGCGTGGGCCCGGCCGGCGGCCCCCAGCCGGCGCGCGGGCCCCGCGGCCGAGGCGGGCGGCGGGCGCGGCCCCGGGCTCGCGGCCGCCCAGCAGGCCGCGGCCGCCGCCTCCGCCCCTGCGCCCGGGACGGCCGGTAGTGGCCGTTTCCCCGCGCCGCCCCCCCCTTCCGCCGGCTTTGTGTGCGCGCGAAGCGTGCGGCACATTGCAGATGAACCCTAAGCCCGGCGAGCCGAGCCTATTGTTCCCCGCGAGCAGCCGCCGGCCGAGCGAGGCGGGCGCAGCGCCGCGGCCGGCCCTCGGGGGGCGCTGTGCGCGCCCGGCCGCGGCCCACGGAGGCCGGCGCGAGCGGGCGGCGGGCGGCGCGCAGCGGCTCGGCCGGCCGCCGGTGCCCGAGCCCCGCCGCCGCCGGTGCCTGAGCCCGGGGACGCCCCGGCCGCGCGGCCCAGGCGGCGCGTGAATGTGTGCGGGGGGCCCCGCGCGGCGGCGGCCGGAACGCACGCGGTGCCCCCGCTCTCCACGAACCACCACACAGCCCTCCCCTCCCCGCCCCGGCCCCGCCTGCCCCGCCGCCGCCGCCGCCGCCGCCGCCGCCTCGGTGGCCGCCCCGACTCGCGGGCCTCGGGCCGCCCGGCCGCCCCCCGCCGCCCGCCCGCGCCCCGGCAGCAGCACCATGTTGGATCGCGCCCGCGGCCCGAGCCGGCGGCGCTGAGGCGGCCGAGAGCAGGCCCGCGCGCAGCGAGCGGCCGAGCGCCCAGCGCCGGGGGCCGGGGGCCGCGCTCGCCCGCCCGCCCCGCGCCGCCCCGGCGCCCGCTGCCCCTCGGCGCGGCTCCCGGCGCCTCAAACTTTTTTAGCAAGCCCCCTCCCTCCCGCGGCGCGCTCCCCCGGCCGCCCGCGCCCTCCCTCCCTCCTCCTCCTCCCCCTCCCGCCCGCCCTCCTGCGCCGCCGCCGCCGCCGGCCCATGACCGAGCCCCGCCGCCGCCGCCGAGGAATGGGCTCCGGGCCGCGGTAGGAGCGCGGGCAGCGGGGCCGCTTCGCCACAGCCATCGCGCTTCTGAGGGCCGCCCGGGGGGACGCCATGGCCAGCTCGGCGGGGAAGGCGCCTCCGGACGAGCGGAGGAAGGGGCTGGCGTTCCTGGACGAGCTGCGGCAGTTCCACCACAGCCGGGGGTGAGCGCAGGACGGCCCGGGCGGTGCGGGCGGCGCGGGCGGCGCGGGCGGCGCGGGCGGCTGACGAGTGCGGGCTCCCGTCCCCGCAGGTCGCCGTTTCGGAAGATCCCCGCGGTGGGCGGCAGGGAGCTGGACCTGCACAGCCTCTACACCAGAGTCACCACTTTGGGCGGCTTCGCGAAGGTGAGCGCGACTTTTAATTCGTCTTTCCCTCCCGCCGGCCGCCTCCGAAAAGTCTCCTCTGCCCCCGGGTGGGCGCGGGGCGCCGGGGGGCGGCCGGGGCCGGGGCGCCGCGGGCGGCGGCTGTTTTCGGCCTGCCGGCCCGCGCGGCCCGCGGCGGCCCCGCGTCCGCCGCCCGGTGAGCCCGCGGAGCCCGGTGAGCCCGGCGGGGCGGGCGCGGGGCCGGGCGGCGCGGGCGGGGGGCGGGCGGCGCGGGGCGCGGGGCGCGGGCCCCTCCCTCGGCCGCCCGCACCGCCCGCCGCGCCCGCCGCCCGGCCCCGCGCAGCCCCGCGCCGCCCGGGCGGGGACGGGCTCGGAGCGCTCCGGTGCGGCTCCGGCCCCGGGATCGGCCGAGAGGGGCCCGGGGCCCGGCGCGGCCCGGCGCCCGCGGCTGCACGGCTAACAAAAGAAAGCAGGACCCGTGTGCGGATAGCCATCTTGGGCCGGGAGGCGGGCGGCGGAGTAGGCCGCGCGAAGGGCCTAGGAGGCGGCGGGCCGCGGGAGCACGCCGCCCGCCCCCGGCCCGGCCCCGCGCGCCCCGGCCCCTCCAACTTTTCTCTTTTGGTGCAAAGGGACCGCGGAGAGCTGGAAAAGGGGGCGACGGAGGGACTCGCGATTGGTTATTGTCCGGGCTTCAAAAACAAAACAAACCCACCGCCTCCCCGCCCCCCCCCCGCCCCGATCCCCAGTCCCCGCCACGAAACCCGCGTCGCGGGGGCTCCCGGAGCTCGCGGGCCGCTGTGCGGGCCGGCTCCCCGCACCCCGGGCCCCGGCGGCCCGCACCCCGCCGCCCCCGCCCGCGGCAGGCACCGCCTGACGACCGCGCTGTGCCCCTAACAGGTTTCTGAGAAGAACCAGTGGGGAGAGATTGTGGAAGAGTTCAACTTTCCCAGAAGTTGCTCGAACGCTGCCTTTGCTTTAAAACAGTATTACTTGCGGTGAGTAGCAGCGCCTGTGCGCGGGGCTTGGAGGCCGTGTGGGCGCCGTGCGGGCACCGCGTGCGGACGAGCCCTGGCCTGCTGCGGGCCCTGCGTGGAGGGTCCCCTCACCTGGGCGCCCTGCGCTCTGGCGGGGTGACCGAGCAGCCCGGGGGATGCCCGGCGGAGCAGCTGGCTTAGGGAATGCAACTTTGTAACCTCCGCGAGCGTTTCGAATGCTTTGAAACTTCCCTTCACCTTCTTAAACTCTGATTTTCAGAGTTGGGAAAAAAGCAAAAAGAAAACTGTTTGAAACTGTGTCGCCCGGTGGTTTGTCAGTGGAATTCTCTCCGAGGCAAAATGCGTTCGTCCCTTCGAGGGTCGGGATGTGCCGTTACCTTCCGTGGACTTTCCTCACCAATCTTTGGCTTTAGGAAAATGGGAATACTATGAAGCCGGATACTAGGATCTGCATTTCGTTTGCCTCCCTTGGTCCTCCTCCTCCTCTTCTGAGACTGCCTGCTTGGCACATTGTGTGTGAAGGTGTTTCCGATTTTGCCATTTTTCATTCTGTTTTCCAGTTTTTCAGCCTGGGTGCTTTCAAATTGCAAGTTACAAGGAGGCCAGTTTCTACATTTCCTATTTACCTACCTCTAGAGGGACCCTAAGTGGTGGTGGTAATGCGACCTAGAATGCTCCTCACGTTGGGTAGTGGTGCTGTGGGAGGGCCGGCCGCCTGGTGCAGCAGAGTGCCTGCGGGGTCTGACTCTGGCCCTGACTGCTGCTTCCTGCGCGCTCCTTGGCCGCCCTGGGTCGAGCTCAGCCTCCGGAGGCAGAGGGCCAGGGCCTGCACAGGTGTGCCTCCTGACAGCACCCTGCGGAAGCCTGGAGCGTGTTAAGTGTGGCTGGTTGGTGTCTTGTGCCTGCAGTGGCTTGTGTGTCAGGACACACTCAGAAAGTCCCAGTCAGCACGGTGGTGTAGTGACGGGGTGAGAAACGCAGAGTTGGGGTGCTTACGCTGGTGCTCATGTTCCCGTTTCCAACTAAAGTAATTGAGAGACATACGTGCGTGTTCTGAATCGTTTGGGGTTTGGAGAAGTTTAAAATACATATTTTTTTAGTTATGGTAGTATCTGTTAGATCTGTTGGTTGGTTGGTTGAAATTTAATACCCAGAGAGCATTGTGTGTGTATATGAATGGTTCACGAGGTATGTATTTTTCTGAAGAATTTACATGCAGGCAAACTAACATAGTCGTAGCATTACCGATTCAATTTTTTTCTAGAAGTTAACCAGAAATAATGTTTTTCCATTTGTCATTTGTATGCGTGGATCATACCATCCATTAATCACAGGTACTATTTTTAACT